AAGGTGAGAAAAATTGGAATAATTGCCGGGGAAACCCTAAAAACAGCCCTTTTCTATTTCCCATACAAACGTTTTTCTTGACATTAGATTTGACAACTAATATGTCAATAATTCTGTTTGATTGAAACAGGAAAAACCTGATTATTTATGGCCTCTCAGACGGAATAGAGTTCGTCTGGTCAGCTATACATATATTACTCTTGACTAAACTAACGCGGACGAAGTCGCGGGCAAAAACTAGTATATATTGAATTTACACTTAATACGTATCCTCATTAGTTTCTGTTTCTGTTAAGAGCTGCAGAAGTATATTATATGTACTTACAATGAAACCTCGGGCATATGACATTAAAAGTGACTTCTTATGACTAAATAAAGTTTTTTTTTAAGAAATTGTACCTATATGGCTTACAAAGGAATGAATCCTTTTATACAGTGTATGGGAATTACGAGCAGAACATTTCTATATAAAACATACATTTATCCGTGTTAGGCGATAAGAAACCCAATCAAGGAAACAAGTATAGCTCGAGGAAAGTTGGGATTTCTTCTGGGAGTTGATAAATAAATATTTTTTTGTATTACCCAATCTGCAACATGTATTCTTCAATGACACTTTGAAATATAATAATTTTGTTTAATTTTATATTATGTAGTCATTTTTGTTTACAAATAAAAACTTTAGTATCACGCGTGCGGTTTTTACCCTATCAAATTTGTTTTAATTCACGCAAATAAAATCTTATTTCCCAAATCGTCATACATTACATAGTATACACCGGCAAGTTTTACATCATAAGTTTCTTACGTTACATAAAATATTTGTTTTAATAATTCTCAAAAGTATGATTAATGTATCAGGTCACAGGACCATAACTGTGTGAAAGAAAAAAATAAGCTTATAATAAACTGAAAATTTTTCCAAGTTTATTTATTAATAATGTAGTAAAGTTAAGCTCAGACTGAAGTGAGTTGTATATTGCCATCCTTTCAGGGACTAGAACGAACACCTGGTACCTAGATTGAAACACACAGTTTACTTTTACATCTAAAGATATTTCTACAAATTGGTTGTGTTTCTGTACTACAAACTCGCTCTAAAAATGTAATCTATTTTGATAGCCTAATTTATGGAATTACCACTCAGTAGGTCGTTTAAAAAAGTATTTATTCAAAATATATTGTTTCGAATATGAAATAATATTTGCTCAAAGAAAATGTTGTTTTTCTTTTCTTTTTTTTTATGTAAAAAGTGGCAAAGGAGCAGACGGGCCACTTGATGGTCAGTAGACACCGTCGCCCATGGACATCCGCAACATAGATGTTACGGATGCATTGCCAACCATTGTTGTTGGGAAAAAGGAAGGGGTGGGAAAAAGGAAAAACCAGGAAAGGGTGGGAACAGGGAAATCGCAACCGGCTCTCTCACTCATCGGACGAAACGCAGCCATTAAAGGCTACTTCACGCCGATTTTCTGTGAGAGCGTGGTACTTCCCCGGTCGAGCCAGCCCATGTTCGAGCTGTAGTAACTACACTAAAGCTAGGCTCTACCACCTCAATATTACAGATACTGTTAGCGCCTACAGCCATCTAAGAGCAATAACGTTTCCGCTATAAATAGTTTATAATCAGGCGCTTCATATTTCTATATTCAATTCATCACCAGTTTTAAATCTACCAACTACATGTTATTATTACATATTTTATTCATTTCAATTTTGCTGTGTCACTTCTAACTTTGCACTCGAACCTTTGTACACGTTTATAATAATTGAAGCAGTATAACATATTTGGGTTTAATTTCAACGAGAATTAGGCTACATAGTGTCCACTACGAGACAGATATTTACTACCTTTTTTCAATGTATTTTCTCTATGTCAATTTCTCGTGACCTGTTAATTTCTAAAATGATACAACATTTCCTGAAAATGAAAGCTCCTAAGGAAACACAATCTTGGTTGTTAGCAACATGACATTGACGAGGGTCGCTTGGATTGGAATCAAAATAATATTAAATTATCTTAAAGCCCTTTACAAAGCCCACAACAAATGATGTTCATTATAAAAATACCATAAGGATTACTGTGGGTCATTAAGAGAATGAGACTTAAAGTAACAGTTATGAAATAAGGATAATGCACTTTAGACTGGAGTACTACGAGATTGCTCCGAGAGTATAATAATATATTCCAGAGGGACATTCTAAAGCTCCTAATTATATTAACGAATCCGTATTAGTACGTTTATTAATTACAACTAGAAAAGAGAAGTTGATAATAATGATAACAACGAAATCAATTACTAATTCATAAGATTATTTTAAATAAGTATAGTTTTAAAATAAACTTGATTTATAAAGGGCTCTTTACATCCATTTTATTTTATAAAATACAATTTATAATATTCTATATTTCTGTGAACATTCCCTCAACCTGTAGACACACCATGCATGTCGTATTAGATGGACCGTTGGTGAGTGTGTAAAGTTATTGTGAACGATCCGATACTATACAATCTACATATGTATATCAATACACGAGGCTCGAAGCTCATGAATCATTTGAGAATTTTAAATTATTTTGAGTTGTTTTTCATTTTGTGATTCTTAACACCTAAAGTGACATCGGTTGACATTATAAGAAAATTTAAAAATATCGAAAGTTGTACATCAATAACATAAATGTATTGGAATGTTAAAATATTGACATAAATTAGAATGTAAATGAATTTTGATATATGTACGAGAATATGTTGCTGGAGGTAGATGAAAAGTGAGTTTATGAGTTTAAGAAGAAATAACGACCACAAACAACTGTAATAACAAGTCTATTGACTATTATAAAAGCTTTACTGTATTTATACAAACTAAACTATAACATTTTTACACTGTCATTGAAAGCAAATTGTTCTTGTGGCCTCTTCAAACTGACGATTATTTTAACCAATTACTTGTCTCAGTCTTGTCTAAGTTATTAGACTTGAGTAATAGTAACTGACGGTACAATCATTCCGTCCCTGATAATCAAACAATTTACTTCACAGCCAGTGATTTACATAGTATATGGTCTGTTCACAATTACAGAGATCGATTGATAACAAAAAATTATTAAAACAAGATGGTATTATAAAAATTTATCAAACTTCTTTCATAGTGTTGGTTGAGGACTTTTGTGAAAGAATCTCGATGTTCATAACAGACCTGAGAGTCAAGATTTAATTTTAAATGAAGTCGTCATGAAGTACAACTTCACAGTTAATTTCTTTATTAACTGGCTAAAGGCTTTGATTTCTGAAAACAGAAACGATCCGGGAATGTAGGAAATTCTGTATGGACTATAACATTATCTTCTATTTGGAGTACTGGAAATGTAGTCGGTTGAAAACGGATACTTATTTCAAGGGAAATTAATTCCTAGAACACTTTTGTATAAGTTTAATTTTTATATATCACTTGATATGTTATTAAATTTTCCATAAATTCCCAAACCGTATAGAGAAGTAGTTTTATTCATTTACTACTTAAAAATTTCAATTTTTGTTTTCTATCTAAATATAAATCAAGATTTAATATATAATAATCAATTATATACTATTTTGATTCTCTGTTTAAAAAGTTAAAATCTGGATTAACATTTAATTTAGATTTAAACCCCTCCGTACACCGCTCTTGTTTTCGAGAAAATCGGAGAAAGTCATTTCCTTATGTATAATAAGTAAAGACAACTGTAAGAAATTCTTTTTCACGTATTAATATCACTACATCCTCCAACTACACAACAACTTTTCCAAACCATTTAATCGTTAAGTTAATAATGTTGTTTAAGTGATGGATTGATTATACATTATACATTAGGCGATATTCCGTGTTCAGTCATGCAGTATTATTCCGTATTCCTTATTTAATAATCCTCAGTTACTAATTGTGAATACATACTTGTTACCTACTACCTATCGATCATGGTGATCACTGTTTACGAACTCAAACTATCATCTACTTTACAGTCTACATATCAAATGTTTTTCTAAGATTACTGTTTGAAGAGATCACTTAAAATTAAGTACTATAAATACAAATACACATATTATAAAACAAGTAATCATACATTTCGGTTAGAATTAAATTTATCCGATAGACCGTAGTAATTACAGAAAACAAATATGAAGTTATTTATTACGATACATATAAAGTTTTATATGTATATAGTTATCAAATCGTTTAGCCACTACCTATAACGACTCGTTTTCTTACTTAGACATATTCAATATGAAAAAATCTGAATTTAAAAAGGCTTTAAAAAAACAAGTGACATCTTAATTTACTATGAAAACACACAAATGCATACACACTTACCCACACACGACATGCTCACACCCACACACACACACACACACACACACACACACACACACACACACACACACACACACACACACACACACACACACACACACACACACATTCGCTCACACAATGAACAATCTTGCTAATTAGATTTTTTTTTTTTTTTTTTCTACGAGGGGAATCTTTTAAAGACTTCCTGCCGCGGGGGAAACGCGACAGGGGCATGTGGGATTTCCACCCACTAAACCACCTCGACGTTCTCTGCGCTGTGCGTAGACTAGTGAGCGGGAACGGCAAGCCATACTTCCGCTCACTACGCACGAGTCCCGAAAGGGACTCCGCCATCGGCAGGGGTATCAGTGGCTGACCACACCACCCCTCCGACTCAAGAGCAGCGTGCCGGGAACGCCAAACACGCCGCTCTTCCTCTAGCCTATGTTACCCGGACGCCGGTTCCCCACCGACGCCCGGAGGCTTCCTCACTGGGGAGGCAGGTCGCGAGCATAAGCCCGCTGCCTTCGACCCAGCCTTCGTCGGCGCAGCGGCGCCGAGGAGGGGTCGTCTTCCCTCACTCGTTCAGCAGCCTCCTTCTGCAAGATGACTCTCTCGCTGAAGTCGGCCACCGCCTGCCATGCCCTCTCGCTGCCGACCATGGCCTGGACCACTGCCGGCAACGAAAGGTCTGCGCCAACCACGCGGATGAGTTGGCTCCGCTCGGATATCCACGCTGGACATTCCATCAGTGTGTGGTCAGCGGTGTCTTCCACGCGACTGCAGTGGTGACACGTCGCTGTCGGCTCTCTCCCGACTATATGGCACAAATACCTCCCGAAGCAACCGTGCCCCGAGAGGATCTGCACCAGCCGGAAGGTTAAGGATCCGTGTCGGCGGTCCACCCACTCCATGAGGAGCGGGCGAATAGCCTCCACGGTTCGCAACCCGGCCACTGGCTCAGAGAGCCTTTGCCTCCACCGATGGAACAAGGACGACCGCGCAGATCGTCGCCAACTATCCACCCGATCCCGGTCCGGACTCGTTCCCCGGGATCGTTCTCGCGTGCGCTGGTGGTAAACCTCCGCCAGAACCTGGGCATCCAGTTCCCAGGGAGGCGTCCCAGCCAGCACGCAAGCCGCCTCATGAGAGACAGTGCGGTATGCTCGTACCAATTAGATTAGTTATCCAATATCAATTGTACTTAAGTTACGTTTATGTTTATAATTTTACTTTAACTGTGTAATCCTGTATTGGTCTTAATATTGTTTATTTATACTTTATAATGTCATTATTATAAGCACTGTTGGATTACCGAAATAAATAAATATATATATATATATATATATATATATATATATATATATATATATATATATATATACATACATTTTAAAATATACTTCTAACGTAAAATCCTTAGTAATCTGTTAGAGGAAATGTTTGCACTTGCTTCTTAATACTTAAAGTCCTCAATAAAATGTTGACGAAATGTTCACATTACAGAAGTTCAATGTTTTAATGTATCTAACTTACTGTTTGTTAATGTTGAAACACACACAGATGAGGATAGTCAACGTGCTTTACTTTAAAAACTTACTCAGAGAGTCGCTGTTTGAAACGATTTAATAATATATTTGAGATTCGTATTAGACATATAATGTGCTTTAATGAGGAACATTCACTGACTTGTGTTTATATTATTTATATGCACATTATAGTAATGATAATTGAATGAAAATAAACTAGTGATTTGGTTATTATATGCCAAATAGTTACATTCATCAAGACGGAGTGTCAAATATCTTGAGTGAAGGAAAAACTAACATTCCACGAGACATGGATGAAGTCATTATTTAGTCATTATTTGTAATTTTCACGAATGACAAACTGAGTTATTGTCAATAAACACAGTTCAAGATGAATTTAAACATAAGTACGTTCAATGTGTATATTGAATATGTAGAAGGAGGTCTTGCGACAACGGTCTGGTTCGTATTTATATAAAACTGTGTTAAACTACGAGTATTTACTCAAACAAATGTTATACTATATTAGTTATAGGAATAGTTGGAAAGATAATTTTACACGAAATTAACTATTGTAATGTTGTTATTTGCAGGGCAAATATTTTATCATTTGTTGATGTGAAAATGGCAGAATAACGAAGTTAAGAATTTAAAACAATGAAGACTAAATTTATACTCTTTGTTTTACGGGTGCATCAGAAACAAGTTAAAAATCCAGCACAAAAATTATTTAAAGTCTGCCTGAATTTATGTAGCACTTTGTCCTTCGCTGCTCTGTAAAACGCCTTATTCATCAACCGTCTGCATCAATAAAAAAATTAAAGTAGAAATAATGAAAGTTTTTAATAAAATAATACATATATTTAATTTAAAAGCTGATGCAGAATTTAGGTATATTGATATAATAACAATTATGTTGCTTAATGACATCTAAGACTTTCGCGAGTATTCATTTAAATGAAATTAATATTATTCGGATTACTTCTCGTTTTTTATTATTTTATATCTACATACTCCTGACGTTCCGGTTACTTTGCAGCAACCGTGATCAAGTGCAGATGAGATGTCAATGTGAATTATATTTAATCAACATAATTCTTAACTTAATAGGTTGGTGAATTCAAAAAGGTTTGTTATTTCCATATTAATTGATAATCTACTGTGCCCTTTATAGACAACTGATCAACTGTTTATTTATTATAGAGTAGCGGGCTTATCATGTCCATGGATATTCTACTATTATTAATAAATGTAAACAATGAAATTATTCTTCATTTAAGGATTACATTAAAAATTATTACTTTATGTAAAACGTTACAGTAACTTGTTCGTTTAAGCAATAAGCTACCAAGTATGATTGAAATGGAAAAGGTAAAGTTAAAAATAATCCAAATAAAATGTACTTACATACCTATTTAAAAAATACATGACTTGAAATTACTAAAATCAAAAAAAAATCTCTATGATGATAAGAATGAAAAAGAAGTTGATTAGATATACAAGTTGAATAATGTTATATGTAAATCGAATTTATTTCAAATTCGTTGTTTTTAAAGGGAGCCTCGCTGACGTTACTAATGTCACTTCGTCTAGTACGTGCAATGATATTTTAAAATGAAACTTCAATTGTTCTTAATGCTTCTGTATTTCTCGAAGGTTCTTCAGAATCACATACTTCAATAATACGCACTCACTGAACTCTTAATTCTGCCGTCGTGCGTCCAGACGTCATATTTGTACCAAGATTTAAACATAGTTCTATTCTCCTTTTAAACAATCTTTGATTTCGTTTTACTTTTAACAATAGTCATAAATACTAATGAGTTTTAATAAGAATAGATGACAGCCTCCAATAATTTTCATTTCGCATCCGTTATTAAAGCTGATAGCGCCGATATATACCTATAATGGTAGATTAATAGACTTGGACTGTACGCATACATTGTAGAACATTCTTTTAGCAATTGTGTACAGTATAAAAATTTTTACGCTTCGTATGATATATTTATAATACTTTGGCCAGTTGAACCTGCAATAAGTAATTAGGTACGCATTCCAAATACCGGAATATGTCGGGTGTGGGCTCATTTTACCTGGTGTTAATTTTCGAAATGACGCTCAAAAGGTCTCGGGATGATTTGATTGTACGAAATCCCAAAACAGTATGAAGTTGTCAGAGATCATACAAAGCATATAGGAGAACAAGTTTCGGTTTACATTAAATAGTATTCAAACAGCCTTTGTCTACTAATTGATATCAACAAATTTTAAATAATCTCTTTCTCAACATTTTATTGTTATAAATAAAGCTTGTTCATTTGCTCATTATTGAGATAATCCGAAAGTATGAAACTTCCATATTTTTTTAAAATCTTTTTGTGTTTTGTTTGCAGTCATTTAGAACGTTTTGTCTAATGTTTGTCATAGTCAAAATAGAGATGCCGAAATTGCAACTAATGTATTTGGTTTTTGTGTGACTTTTTTTGAAAGCTATTTTTGATAACCTCTTCACATATACATATAATTATTGTGCTGTACAACTCAAAGTTCCTGTTTTCTCCTTTAAGATGCTTTAGGAAACTTTATAATGAAATAAATGAAGTGAAGTGATAACTACTTATTTCTAATATGAAAAAAACTCTTTCATTACATTTAAGGTAGACATTTAAGATATTATTATGTATCACTTCGTTTCAATATCAACCTCAGTAACAAAGCTAAATGCAAGGAGTGAATACTAACAAGATTCTAAAGAAAATGAAGTTAAAAATAAGATTTCTAATTCCTAGATTTTCACGCTGGAGCCCTGTAATTAAAATCCGATTGTTTAAAGCTTACTGTCAGAAGTACTTTATTGACATCTCACGGACTTGTCAGAAATATATACTTGCTAAATAAGATACAAAGAAGCAACAAAAAAAATAATTAAATACATTGATAAGATGAATCTTCTCAGTATTCCAAAATCAATGTAAATAAGTACTTAGTAATATTTTTAAGGTACAACAGCCTAGACAGTAATATATATTAAATAAAAGAATTTCTTTAAATTTTAATTTTGTATTGTACATTATATGTGTAGTGTCCATGTTATTAATTTATATACTTAGTTATACTATGATATATTTACATATAAAAAACAGATCTTAATGGAGCACCAACTACAAAATTTTCGAGACGATTAAAAGAAAGAAACTAAAAATATTTATCCTTCACTTATCTAAATACAAAGAATGTAAATTTGAAAACTTTATTCCATAATAAATTAAAACTTATGTTACATAAAATAATTATAATCTAAGACAGTGTAACGATGATTAAATAAGTCAAGATGAAAAAAGGATATCGTCGGGTATAGTGCAAATTGAACTATCATTGGATAATACCACGTATCTACATTGGAAGCAGATTATCAGAAGAAAGTTAAGGCTGAAATATTAACTAAATTAACGACTTTAAAGGTGATTTTTTCACAATTAGAAATAATTACTAATAGTGAAAAAATTATTTTAAAATAATTTGGAAAATATTTCATCGAAATTATCCAATGGTAGTTCCGCGGATTATGGATAGTGCAATATGCCGAAACTTCGGCATATGCCGAATCGTTCAAATATCCAAAGCACAGAACAAAGCGACGCCACGCTTTATCCTGTGAGAGTGTGGCTTATGAGTCGCCAGTTCAATAGTCATTACATAGTTGGTCGAGTGTCCAGTGGTCGAGAGTGTCCCGGCTCTAACGAGTGTCTTGTATGTCGGATATTCGTATAAACCTTGCGCTAGACGATGATTTTGTTCCGGTTTCATATATATGATTGCCAATTCTGGAATTGAATATTTTAAATATTTTAGTTTTTGTCACCTCATTAATATGAACTACTGATAAAGTAGTGAAGTTTTGAAATACCAACCGGTATGTAGTTTCTTTGGTCTGCTTTCTTCTAATGTCATATCACCAGTATTAAATCTAGCACCGTCTAAAAATAGGCCTCGGACACAGCAACCATCATCTGGTTTCTTCGCTGGCGGAGCGTTAAGAACCTGGAGATATAACTTAGTTAATATAAAATATGTGCATATATTCCTTTCACATCTATTCTGGTAACCATTGTTCTAAACTGTTCATTTAAATAAACGTCTATTTTCATTTACTTTTTATTTTTAATAAAATAAAGATTACATTTCGTAGACTGACCAGCTTCGCTGGTACGCTAGAGTTTTGAGACCTGACGATATAATTACTTATAGAATTATTCGTGGGTCCTATATTCACTTTTCTATCTTATTTTCGACTACTAATCACTACTGATACTTAAACAACTAAATAGTGGAAATTTGTGTGTTCAAAATACCTAGATATTTTTTAAATTTGAATTCTACCGTTGGGGTGTTATCTTAGATTTATCTCAAAAGCGTAAGCGACGGTATCAATTGAAACGATATGTTGTCTAGCATAGTTTTGTAATGCACCAGTAAGGAATGCCTGGGGGATGTAGAACCCAGAAATCCAAAACACCTTAGTAACATTAATTAACAAACCCGCAATGGAACTTCATGGTATTCAGTCAAAAACATGTGAAGCTGAGAAATATAAATACGAAGATCACCATCCGTGAATTCCTTTGGTATATTAAAACCAAGAGGCCCAAACTTCCGTCTTTCTAGAACTACACCATGGAATAGGCATAGTGAAAATAGGAGCCACTGGAAATTATAT